TCTATTATGCAAAATATTATACTGTATTTTGTATTATTGAAAAGTTAAATCTGTATTTCAACACAGTGACATTGGTACTGCGGAGCAGTGGAAATTGCAATTTGTAAAACTAAAATACGTATTTTGAAGTGTTGGCATATGCATATGCAGTTTGTAAAGTGAACATTGAAATAATATTGGTAACGTATCCCTTCATATAATTTTACATGTAAATTTACTGTTATGTATTGATTGTAGATCATTACCGTACCTTTAAGATTAAGGTAAGGCAAGTTGTAGTCGGGACTGAGGTAACTTTAGCCCGGCAGTTCGATTTATTCAATCCTAGAATAAAGACATGTTTTGAAACCACCTTGGTGTTATATTAACCCTCACTCCAATATACAATAATTGGCGACGAGGATCAAAGATGGCAACTTTTGGTAAAATAGAACAGTTAAGTGGTAATAAAGATGAATGGGACCAATATATAGAACGTCTTGAACAGTATTTGATGGCAAATAATCTTGATGAAATTGAACTGAATAGGGATGAAACGAACGCAACCGCAGTCAACGCACGTGCACAGAAAAGGCGTGCTATCCTGTTAAGTGTTATTGGGCCATCTACTCAGTTCTTCGTAACCAAATATCACCAAATAAACCGGCAAGTAAGACATTTGATGAAATAATTGATATATTAAAAAGTTATTTTTCTCCGACCCCCTCTGAGACTGTGCAACGTTTTAAATTCCATACGTACCACAGACGACAGGGAGAATCAATAGCCGACTACGTTTCAGAATTACGTCGACTTGCTGAAAATTGTAACTTTGGTAACAATCTGAACAATATGCTTAGAGACAGACTTGTATGTGGAGTGGCGGATGAACGGATACAAAGGAGGCTTTTGTTAGAAAAGGAGCTAACTTTTGAAATTGCATACACCATTGCCTTAGCCCAAGAATATGCTACACGCGATGCTAGTGTTTTACAAGGTACAAGTTCCTCAAATGACGCAGTACAATCTGTACATAGGATTGGTGGACAAAAATCGTTCTCTAAAGACAAAAGAGCACACAATCAAGACAGCAGTAATATAAGTGTACGTCGTAAACCCTGTTTTCGTTGTGGTGGAAGTAATCATACGTCTGACAAATGCCATTTTAAAGAGGCTGAGTGTAATTTCTGTCATAAGATAGGACATATTGCGAAGGTTTGCTTGTCCAGACGTATCAGACAGTCGCGTAAATCTGGAAAACATCCAAATTTTAAAGCGAATGCGATCAGTGCAGACTCTGACACCGATGTGTTATTTACTTTAAATTCTCTAACTGGTAGTGCCCCTTTAAACGTTAAGGTTTTTATTGACGGTAAACCCGTTAAATTTCAGTTAGATACCGGTGCAGGTGTAACGGTTATGAACAAACATGATTATGAAGAACTATATGGAAATTCCCGATTGTCTCGGTCGTACATTAAACTTAGTTCGTATACCGGAAATAAAATAAACGTTCTCGGTGAGAAAATAGTAAATGCTGAAACTAATGGACAGAAAACTCTTCTACCACTGATTGTAGTTGACGGAAATGGCCCACCTTTGTTAGGCAGATCGTGGTTACAAGAGCTTAAACTAAACTGGGATGAAATCATGACACTGTCAACAATTCAGTCTTCTCCTAGTTTAACAAGTTTATTGGATGAATTTGATGAGTTATTTTCGGACAAAGTAGGATTTTTGAATGATTATAAAATTCATTTAGACATTGTAGACAATGCTACTCCAATGTTTTGTAAAGCTAGATCTGTACCATTTGCTATGAAAAAGAAAATAGAAGAGGAGCTAAAGCGGCTTGAAAGTGATGGTTTAATTCAGAAAGTGACATATTCGGACTGGGCAGCACCAGTGGTTCCAGTGATCAAACCAAATGGCAGCTTGCGACTGTGTGGTGACTATAAACTTACAATAAATAAAGTGGCTAAGCTTGATCGCTACCCCCTCCCTTTAATAAACGATATTTTTTTTAATTTGGCTGGTGGAAAATATTTCACAAAGTTGGATTTGTCACAGGCATATCACCAAATAGCTTTGGATGACGTATCGAGGGGATTAACAACAATAAATACCCACTGGGGTCTTTATGAGTACTTACGCTTACCTTTTGGTGTTAGCTCTGCTGTGAGTTTTTTTCAGAGAGCTATTGAAACTGTTTTAAAGGGATTAGTTGGACAGAGTGCTTATCTTGATGATATTATAGTAACCGGTTGTAATGAAGAGGAACATTTAGAAAATCTCCGTGCTGTTTTATCGCGTTTAAAATCGTGTGGTTTGAAACTTAGAAAAGAAAAATGTAAGTTTTTGTTGACTGAAGTTGAATATTTAGAATTTAAAGTGACGGCTGATGGTATTCATCCTACTGAATCCAAAGTGAAAGCTATTAAAGAAGAAAAGGCACCTTCTAACGTATCACAGTTGCGATCATTCGTTGGTATGGTGAACTATTATTCACGGTTTCAACCACACCTTTCACATCATATGGCTCCACTTTATGATCTATTAAAGGTTGATAAGAAATGGAGTTGGAATAATAAACATGAACTCATTTTTCAGAAAATAAAATCTATGATGTCTGATGAAATAGTTCTTGCACATTATAATCCTGATGCTGAGTTAGTACTCTCCTGTGATGCCTCGCCGTTTGGAATTGGTACTGTTCTACAGCAACGAGAGGAAGATGGTAAACTGAAACCCATATCGTTCGCGTCACGAAGTCTTTCCGCTGCAGAGAAGAACTACGCCCAGATTGAGAGGGAAGCCTTATCAATAGTATTTGGTGTACAAAAATTTAGGCAATACTTGCTTGGTAGAAAATTCACGTTACTTACTGACCACAAACCATTGGTTAAGTTATTCGGAGAAAATAACGGAATTCCTCAACTGGCCGCGGCCCGTATAAAACGTTGGGCTCTGATCTTATCGGCATACCGTTATGAAGTGAAATATGTTTCTTTAAAAGATAATCTGTGCGCGGATTACTTATCACGTACGCCGTTACAAGATGATAGAAGTAATTTTAACTGTCATAACGACGAAGTTTTGTTTGTTACAAACTCTGTGTTGAAAGAGGTTCCTTTAACTTCAAAAGTTATCGCCGCAGAAACCCGAAATGACACAACTCTATCAAAAGTTTTACAACTGTCCCGAGATGGTTGGCCTAATTATTATAATGTTGATGAGCTAAAACCCTATTTTATCAGAAAGACCGAACTGTCGATCGAACAAGACTGTGTTTTATGGGGAAGTAGAGTTATAGTTCCTGTTAATTTACGACCGACTCTTTTGTTAGATTTGCATAGTGAACATTTGGGAACTGTCCGTATGAAAGCTGTTGCGAGACAGTATTTCTGGTGGCCGAAAATTAATGAGGAAATAGAAAACATTACTAAACATTGTAAAATGTGCCAAGAAAACGCGCCTATGCCTGCATCCCCGGACGTCGCATCGTGGAATTGGCCCTCGAGCCCGTGGAAGAGATTACATCTAGATTTCGCCGGTCCATTTTTAGGTTACTCTTTTTTGATTGTCGTTGATTCTTATTCGAAATGGTTAGAGGTCATTCAAATGAAATCTATCACCACGACATCAACTGTTAAAGAACTTACGAAGCTATTTTCGACATTCGGTACTCCCGAACACATAGTAACCGATAATGGTACTCAATTTACTAGTAGTGAGTTCTTCGAGTTTCTATTCGCGAATGATATTAAACATACGCGTACAGCCCCAGCACACCCTGCGACCAACGGTATGGCTGAACGATATGTAGGTTACTTTAAGAAACAAATTTGAGATCTGGTCCGCGCTGGTTACCTGGTATCATTATTGATGTAAAGCAACGTTCGCACGATGTTCAAGTCTACCAGCAGGTTTGGAAAAGACACGAGGATCAACTTCGCAAACGTTCTCTTGAATTAAAGGATAAATCACCGGAATTATTAGATACAACACTTACGTCAAATACGTTGGGTCGTCAGTTTAATTCTAACCCGGACGGACTGTTAAGAGACATACCAACTCGTCAAACTAAATAAACTAATATCAATACTGATATTAATAAACCAATTTTGTCTGAAGTTCAGAATCCTCCAGATCAACCAATCGTTACAGAACGTCGATATCCAGAACGTATAAGACGTGTTCCAGATCGTTATAAATAAACTTTTCTTAGATAATAGCAATTAACGCTATTTTCAAACTTTCATAAAGAGAGATAATTGTTATGTATTGATTGTAGATCATTACCGTACCTTTAAGATTAAGGTAAGGCAAGTTGTAGTCGGGACTGAGGTAACTTTAGCCCGGCAGTTCGATTTATTCAATCCTAGAATAAAGACATGTTTTGAAACCACCTTGGTGTTATATTAACCCCCACTCCAATATACAATATTTACCTTGGATGTATAATAGCTAGAGGTAAAGTTACATTATAGACTGTGAAATAACATGCAATATTAAAATACAGTTATTACGATGGCAATATTTCTGCCAGTTAAAAAAGGTTAAAAATATATAATAATTTTAACAGTGTAGGGCTTCAAGATCTAGGGGGCCTCTGGTCAACGCGAATAATATTTTTGTTACTGTCATAGCCTTTCTTTAATGCACTGTAATCTTACGTACTCGCCATCACCATCGGCTTTGGCCAATTGAGTTTAAAACACACTTTCATCTAGGGCCCCACTTCAACTCAATCGGGCCATGTTACAACCCCTTCAAAAATCGTGTATTCACCCCATAAGTATAATACATACTTCCTTATGTTGGGAAAATATTATGCATTAAGCCATCTTGACCAACTACTTATTGTCTAGATCAAAGCAGTGTTTCGTTCGTAGTTAGTTGTAAATGTTTCTTTAAGACGTCCCAACCACTACAGATCACATAATTGTCATAGTTTAAGAAACAGATAATCAGGGTCTTTTCTCTTTTTTAAAAACGTACAAATGGCATAGCTTTTTCATAAAAGAGTGATTTGCGATTTTAAAAGAGGATCAATGGTAAAAACTTGAAGCGTTTTAAAAGAATGATTAGTAAGCATTATGTACATTTACTATAGAGACATGGCCATGAAAACTGTGTTTATTTTGTTGTTATATGCTATATGTAGCGTAACCGCTCAATGTAGGCACGTAAAAGCTGACGATTGTTGTCCAAGTAACTGTAAGTATTTTTATTTTGATTCTCCAATGAAAATCTAATTATGATTTGCATGACATTTGTGTAATTGCCTGCTATTCCGGCTAACACTTCTCTCAATTTTGTACAAAAGGACACAGCTTAAAGTATTCTTCTCGGTGACTTCGTTTTTACTTATTTAGTTTTCTTTCTCCAGTTTATATAATTTAATCAACATTAAAGATATTTCAATCTCTCAATGACCCAAAACGAGTTTTGGTCGTAATCGGTCCACCACTTACAATATCTGTATTATTCTTGCTTCGAAAGGGGGGTAGGCTTATAGGAAAAATGTTCAACAAAGTTGGTAAAACACTCATTTTACTTTTCTTTTATGAATTGTCCAAAGTGTACTGAATTGACTATGTATTTAAACATTTTGTTTGGAGCCACACCGCATTGATTATTATTTATGAATGCAGCTTCAACAGTCTAATGGGATGATTGGGATTTCGCTTGCAAAACCATTGGACAACGTTGAAGTTAATTGCTTGACTCACGGGCTAGAAAAGCAGAAAAATGCATCTGCGCCGTTAAGTTTTCTTGGGGAGGGCGAGTTCCCCATACCCCGCCACGACCGGCGGCGGCTGCGTGCACTAAACGTTCGATTGGCTGTTTGGAATTCAGATCAGCACTTAAAGGTCACCGGAAAAGGTTCATAAATTTTTTTAAATAATGCAAGTAATTATGTCAACATATCCTTTCCATAAGTATAACACGAACCCGAATGTCAATATTACCTGCAACAGGTAAATTTCAACGTTAGCAATTTCCGCCATTCTCCGTGGGTAGTCGTAACTTTCCGTAAATTTGACGTCATTTTAGTCCTTCTGTTCATATTCTAGTCTATATTTCTATGTGCAGAAGGACTAAAATGACGTCACGGATTGCTTATTGACGGAAAGTTCCGACTACCGACGGAGAACGGCGGAAATTACTAATGTTGAAATTTACCTGTTGCAGGTATTATTGACGTTTGGGCTCGGGTTATACTTATGGAAAGGATATGTTGACATAATTACTTGCATTATTTTAAAAAAAAATTTATGCTTTTCCGGTGACCTTTAAGTGCTATACATTCACTACCTGACAGGACAACCTGTTTGTGGCCGTCAAGTTTTCCAAGCTTGCTTGAGGAGGCATTTCAGGTCTGGCTTCCCCCAGCTTCCATCGGGCACGTACGCCTAAGGAACACCAGCACACGCAGCGATTATTGCTTCTTGGTTTGATTAGATTTGAAATTCTTGATTGTGTTCAAAACTCTATCAAAGGTATCTTAGCAAAAAAACTGTGCAAAAAAAGGTATCTTAGACATATCCACACGCTACGACTTCTATATCGCAGGTTATGAAAGATAGTCGTTGCGTAAAAGCTGACTCAACACTCCGCAATTTTCGCTATAAAAGAAAAATTGTTATCAAAATAAAATCTATTTTTTTAGTATTTTCCATCAACATGTCGAAGTATTTGGCATGTGAGTATGTTGGTATCCATTATCTTGAGGTTACCATTTACAGATTCTGATTCTGCGTAACCTTTTTTATTTATTTTGAAATTATCATAGCTAACAATTATTTTGTGTTTCAGCTTGTCCATCACAACTTCCTTGTTCTATATTATATAATCAACTTGGACCCTTTGATGAATGTCTTATAAAGGAAGCGACTGTCAGAAATATACAACCATCTGAAGTTGGGGCAGAATGGGAAAGGCGTTGTGTTAATGAAGGTTTATGTGAAGAAAATGTTGGAGCTTGTAATTTCATAAAAGACACCATTGTTCATGATATATGTTATAAAGAAAACAGATTACGTGTGCCTAATACTTGGAAAATAGCAACACGATGTAACTGAGCAAATAATTGTAAATCAAACTTAATAAATGTAATTTACTTTATGCTGTATCGATAGAATTTATCATATTATCTTGTACATGTATATATACAATTTATGGTTTAATATAATTTCGGAATTATGATGTTATGGTTAGTGCTGACGTGTGGGGTACGGGTATCAAAAACTGACAACATTTGTCTTCGAATTCCAAAAACGTCAAATGTATTTTATATTCAAACTATTTATAAACAAAATGTTAATGAGACAAATTAGTCCATAATAGAAAATGCTAAAGAATTCATGTAAAACTCCAACGATACTTTTGAAAATATAAATACATTTCCACATTACATCCCACCCAGTTTCTTCTAAAGATCTACGATTTGTGAACAAATCTAAATTACAATAATGAGTTGGATGTTCGTTATCAAATTATCGAAAATCAATAGGCATCTAATTGATCGGATGTAAGTCAATCGAACATTTACACTCCAGAACATCCAGAAGGGCCACCATAACTGGAATTTGTTGAACTTTTTCGTCTCTCCAATATAAACACCGTGTATAAAATTAAAGTTAATCGGATGATAACTGTAGTCTCTAGCCCAGAAGGTCCATAAGCAATTGTTGACGGACCGACTGATGGACAAGGGTGATAACATGCGAACCCATTTCAATATTTACCTTTTAAAGTGTCCCTGATTTGTCCATGGGGAACAGAATTTTTTCATATACATGTAAACAAATATGCTTCCTACATTAAAAATTTGGCCGAAATCCCAAGGGTGTCTGAGCATAAGTCAAAAATGTCAATCATATTCATCTGATGTACAGAAGAAGTGCGTTGTTGTAATCATGGCGCGCTTTGTTAAGGAAACCCTTTCGGGATCTCAGTTCCAGGAACAAAATAAAGGTGAAAACTAGCCATGAATGTCAGTTCAAGGCAGAGGGAAGAACTAGCTTTTGGGCATTCTGTTTCACAGAGGTATTGCGACAGCCTTCCTATAACCCTGTATAAGATGACTAGCCTTTTATATATATTCAAATGCCTTCTATATATGAAATGAAATGAAACGGGGTTTAACGTCCTACTGTTCTGCTCCTATACTGGGCTAATGAAGACGGGCATATGTCATACAGCGTGAGATGAGGGACATTTTGTCCGGACAGCGGCACTACAGCCTACTCTTATATCGAATTCCAACTGTCAATGGATCATTTACGTGCACGCCAATGAACTTTCTCGGCCAATGCAGGGATCGAACACCCGACCTCCAGGCTAGCGAGCTATAGCGTCTTACCCACTTAGCCACCTTGATCCCCTTTCTATACATGTGACGTCACATCAGAAGGCGTCGATCATTGGCTCGATGGCGTGTGCATTGTTTACATAACGTAAACTGGTCCGGGCAAAATGATGCCTTTTATTCATTTTACATACTCATTTACACTAAATAGGAAATGTTATACTTTTTATCCAGATATACTTCAAACACCTTTATTTATTTTCCTAATGCTTCAAAAAAATGTTCTAGAATTTAATTTGCATAGGATGTCATTCCTATCAGTGAATGTAGCGGCCTAGCGAATATTCACTGCTGATCAGTGAGGCTTTTGGGCTGTCGGTTCAACGGAGAGAGAGTCAAATGGGGCTTAACGTCAACGCGACGCCAACAAGGTCATTTTGAGACTAACATATGGTTCAATTTTATTTCAATAATTCGCTTGCGTGTAGGGTATTTAGCAGTGGGAGGAAACCGGGGAACCCAGTGAAAATTCTGAGGGTTTGGTAGGCGACCCCACTCACTGAAAGCTTGGAATGGAACCCATGCAACTTGGCTCAATGACAGACCTTATGATCTACCTTCAGATATCTCCAGGTCAATTCAGTACCGATCTGCTCGAGTCGAATACTCCCAGGTCATCTCCCATGGTCCTGCGTGGCTTATATATATAAAATCAATTTCAATTTATTGACATCACAACGCCTTGTTAGAAAACATTTAAATGAAGGAAATATTATGCATTTAGAAATACAAAAACATCGAATCACAGGGAAATTTTTAAAAACTCTGTAACTACCAGTATTTGTCAGTAAAACATGGAATGATAGCGGCTGGAGGTTATTCTTTACAAATTCACCAGCCTTTCCAAGCGTTTCACATGTCTATAATTTATGCATATTCTTTTTCCACGACTTTAATGTTGAAGTCGGAATTTTGAGTTTAGCACATGCAGCCTTTTCGCCGATTTCCACAGATAATTCAATAGCTTTGATCTTTTCTTCATTCGAGTATGATTTATAACGTCCACGAGATTTAAAATTGCTGACCATGTACCAGGAGAGGGCATCTTGTACAGTCGAGTTATCACGGCTATCGGCATCCTCATCTGTAAACAAAACGAGAAGAAGCTCAAATAATGGTTCAGATCAAAAATAACATATTATAATCCAGTTAAGTTAACAGAGCCACGTCAAGAAAACTCAAATCATGTTTAAACAAGCCAACAGTGCTCAAAAGTATTGAGCAATCAAACTGATACATACGAAGTTTCATCACTCCCCATCAGCTAGAATCAAAGTTATGTTGTCCCAAAGCATCGACCAAAAAACTTGCTTAGCTTTGCTTAGCTTTAGTGGGAATTTTTAATCATTGAACTCAGTCAAGCCATTCACCTTAATAAACATTTACATCAAGTTTATTAAACATTCTACCAATTAAAAGCAGAGTTGTTATGTTCCAAAGTCTTGACCAATCAAATTGCTTATCGCTAAATATCCTAAGCAGAAACTATACACCAGGTTTCATCACTCTCACTTAATTAGAACTAAAGTTATCGTGTCCCATAGCATTAACCAATCAAATTGCTTATCTCCGCTTACCCTAAGTGCAGAAAATGCTCATCTTCGAACTCCATCAAGACAATCCAGGGGTCAGCTCAGCTACGTAACAAATTTGTAAAACAAAACTTTAATGAGAGAAGTGTCACGGTCGTTTGCATTATCCTTTATCGTCAGATAGTGGGACTAGGTGGGCATTTAAGGGCACTTTTTAAAACGAAGAGAATAGAATATGAAAGGCTGCAATGACTGTAATATGACAAGTGGCAAAGAATGCTAGACGTTGGGTTTGTTTTGCCAGATTTACAGACTAAATATTAACAAAAAGGTGGGTGTGACACACATACAGGGGCAACGACAATATAATGTGGACGTATAAAAAGCTTGAGCCCATGTATTTCTCAAAAAATGTTCAAGGCCGGGGGTTGGGGGATAGATTGTCTTAGGTACCGGGTAAACTCCCTCCTGCAAAAATTCCTGGATCCGCCTCTACATTCACCTAATAAACACCTACACCAAGTCTGAACATTCTAGCTCAATTAGAAGCAGAGTTATTGTGTGACGGACAGACAGACATACAGACACAGACAGACAGACCCATCTTAATAGCCCTCTGCTTTCTTTCTTCTAAAGGCGGGGGACAAAACAAAAAGTTTGTAAAAAAAAAATCCTCACGTTTCAGTTTCACAGCAGTTTCGCACTTGCGCGTTGTATGAAAATGGTCTCAAATGTACAAATTGTCATTCTGTCGCCTGCGTGTCATGTTTTAAACTACGGTGGCTGGGGAAGGACATGCTTTTATTTTTCCCAAATTATCTCGTTCGATCGACTCAGTGTCTCGGTCAATCGACTTGTATCTCGATCGATCGACTTGTATCTCGATCGATCGACTTAGTATCTCGATCGATCGACTTTATTATCTCGATCGATTGACTTTTTTCTGTAACGAAGCTATAACAGTGGTTCCCCGCTCGGCTTCGCCCCACCGTCTCCACTGCGTGAAACGGGGAAACAGTCTCGAGAACCATACCTCCACTCAAACCAACGGCTACGTTGGGAGCTGCAGGAAACTCGTCTCGCACTCGGCTCCGCTCCCTTCGACTAACCGCCAAATGAAAGAAAAGAGAGAGCAGCTCAACGACGGTGACGAGAAGGGTTGCCGAGAGCTGCAAGAAACGCATTTCCGGGACTTCCCTCGAACGTCATGTACTTTACTCCACTCGCTCGTCCGGCACTTCGCCCCGCCATAGAATCACTGGGCAGTACACCTAGTTTCGGAAAACTTTGGTGCTTGGTCTTAAGCTCACCTTGGCTTTCCGGTAACAAGCATTCTGGCATGAAATATGGATGGAGGTCTCCCGCAACACAAGATTTTTCGTCGCCCGTGAGTGTGTCAAGCCATATTCAACAAGTATACATATTAACAAATAAGGTGACTTTGCAAGGTGAAATTAAGGGCTACCAACGTAGCTAAAGACATAAACCAGAATTATCGCAAAGTTTTTAGCAATCTACTCGTAGCTATAGCTCCGTTTACACTTGGCCACGATAAGCGCGGCACGGTACCAGGGCGCGATAAATTTCAAGAAATTGACCTGTTTACATTACTCTAATATAACCAGTCTCCGAACCGTACCAGGCACGCCAAATGTGGAACTCTTCACAGAAAAGTTAATTCCCAGATGAAAATAATTATGGCGATTGATTTAGTTTGGACTGGAATTTTGACAGAACTGATGACAAAACTGTCAAAGTTCGCATGCGCAGTAATCCGTACTGATAACCGTTCTCATACCGGACAGCGTAATACACTACGAAAATGTAACTGTGCCGTGTCTGGCAACTTGCCGAGACCACCTCACTTCAATGGGCCAAATTGGCACGGTACTCAATATGACACGCTTCTGTCTGACTCGTTTACACTGCAAAACAATTAACCGTTCCGTAATGATGAATTTGGGAATGGACAGGTCCAGGACACCAAATTTTAAATGACACCCTGAGCCGGCAGAAGCAATTCTTGATTGGGGGAGGGGGGGCTACCATTCTAGGGCTTTAGGCGAGGGGCCACAGGGACCGCCTAGGCCCCGGAAGCTCCCGGGGGTCTAGGTCGTCGGAGACGCTTTCTAAGCGATTTCTGGCTAGTAAAATTACTCAGCAATGAATTTTTAATTATTTTTTTAAATTCCTTAGAGCACCGCAGTCGATGGTGCTTTCCTGTGATGCTGAACTGGACAAATATATGCATAATAATACCAAGGTTGTGGACACTCTAGAGGTCACAATTTTTATCAGATTTT